TGAATTCAGCCCTTCGTGAAGAAGTCTGACCTGTAGCTACAGCGAATGCCAGACAGCGGGGCGTTTATGAACCTCGATTTGCTGAAGTGCCTTTAACCTTCCGACTGACCCTGCCTGTGAACCATTTGCGCTAGGTGTACACACATCTTTGCCCAAATGTTTAGTCGAATGATGGCGAAAGAAGCCCAAAAAAAGATCCATATCTGTCTCCTCACACATCTCTGTCCACACCGCCCCCCTTGTTGTGGCCTAGCTTAGTTCCGACAGAAAGGTGGTTCTCAATTCGCTGCACATCCGCCTCCGGAAGCTAGAACAGGAATTGTCTACAATACGAGTGGCATTAAGCCAACTGTCAGTAAAATCAGGGTCAGGTTTCAGTTTAAGGTCAGGGTTAAGATAAAGAGCAGATTTTAAGTTGAGCATAAGGTAGAGTAGGGGGGCTAACGGATAAAATGTCGGCCGAAATTTCGAAATGCTTTCTCGTTTCGAAATGATTAACTAAGTATGGTCGCAAAACTAATCATCATCCGGCATCATTCTACAATGATCCAGTTACCAAAGGGTGACTTCTTTCAAACGAACTTATTTCCGACTGTATGCAAATATGATACTTTGCAAAAAATGACTACTTAAGTGGCATGCATTTTTCTCATTGATGTTCGATGCCCCTAAGTGTCCAATTATATTTTATGGAAAACATACATGAAATATTCATTCTTTTGCTTATTTTTTAGTAAATTACTTCTTCTTCCACTTTTATTCTCAAAGGGAGGTTATAGTTCGGTTTTAAAAAAAATATTTCATTGTGAGATTTTTTAATACCGTGAAAGTTCCGCTCATAAAAGGTCATATCTCTGTATTTACCAATGTGGCTTGCAAAGATAACAATGTGGTTCAAATCCACTGCTAAATTGTATGAACTTCATATGGTCTCCTCTTAATACGGTAGAGAAATGTGTGGATTTCCATACGCGAAAATTCTACGGCTTGTAGTTTTGGAACCCTGAATGCAAGTGTGACGGCAGGTCGGGTTCAGAATTATTCAAGAATTGGAAAAGTTTTATAAAACCAAATTATTCCCTTCCTTCGAGAATAAAATTGCAAGAAGACGTAATTTTCTACTGAATCAGCAAAGGAATGAATATTTTTTATGGATGTTTTCTATGACATAAAATTAAATCTTTAAGGGCATCGAAAATCAAAAAAAAATTGTGCTGCATAAGTAGTCATTTTTACGGAGTATCGTTTTCGGATGCAGCCGGAAAGACGTTTGTTCAGAAGTCGGCGTCCTAAGGTAACTGAATTATTATAGAATTATGCTATAGGCCGATTATTTTTATAACCCTACTTAATTAATCTTCTCGAAACGGAAACGCATTTCGGAATTTCTGTTGAGATTTCATGAGTTAGCCCACTTACTGTAACTCAGCGTGGACTGATTCTTGTCTGAATACGCTCAGAATTCCTGGAAAGTCACACACCCTTTCTATAGCAGCTTTTGTGATGGTTGCCTTAACTACAATGGCACATTCAGTCATCGCATTGCGCAAGAGACTGACGCAGTAAACTTCAAGAGGTAGCTCTGGAATAGCAGATACGGGTATCCGCTCCTGCCTCTGATGATGGCTGCGAGCAGACATTCGAAACGTCAGGAGAATAAAGCCCTAATCCGAGCTCTCGTGTCTCCTTCTGCACGGCCGCTTCCTGGGACACCTCTCTTCGTTTCTATCGGAAGGCAGAAGCCCAAATTAGATCGTGCATATCTGTCCACATTCCCCGAGCTTGACTGAGTTTAACGAGATAGTTGGTTTCCATTTCGCAGTACTCTAACCTCTGGAAACCGGTAGGTCGGTGTGCGCTTATTCCTGTCTAAATACGTCAAAAAATTCGTGGAAAGCCGTCTCAACGTTTCTGTTGAAGCTTCTTTGAGGGTTGCACTGACAACAGTAACACAGAGTCTGTCATCACATTGCAGAAGAGACTGTCACAGTAAACTTCATGTACTGCCTTTCGCATAGACCACAGCATTCCTAACACTCCGTTTTAAGCAAAATGGCACACAAGTCATGTATGGCACATGTGACTAAATGCAAAATAATCTCGCAAGAGGGTCTTCAAATTCAATTAAGCAACCGTGTCGGCAGTTGCAGGAACTAGATGGCCCGTCAACTTTGTTTTGAATCGTTGGAGTGAGAGAGGTTTTTTTAATTAAGAGGCTTGATTAGCAGAAAAGCGCGTTTAACGGTAAATCTATGTATGCGTGTGTACGTAGTCCCAGCATATACGCTCGTCCATTGCAGGTGTATCATAGATAATAATGGTAGGGGACGCTCACCGATCATTCATACGGAACTCACTCGTTCCGTTGTGCCTTACGGACTCTTTCTCGAGCCCAACCAGCAGCCGTACAGCGGCGTATGATATTTAGGTAGTATGTTATTACCGACAAAGATAAGGGAGACTGGAATGCCATTTCTGATTTGTAAGCCGTCGCCAGCCAGCCATACCCAACCCCGAAGTGTGGAACTAACCGGTCGAAAACCGACAGGACAACAGGCTCGTGGTCCAATGGTTAGAGGCGTGGGCTTCTAACCAACAGGTCGCGAGTTCGAGCCTCGAGTGTTCCACACTTCGGGGCTGGGTATGACTGGCTGACGACGGCTAATAAGCCAGAAATGGCCACTCCAGTCACCCTTGTCTTTGTCGGTAATAACATACTGCATAGATAATAATGTTTGGGACGTTTTGTCGCATGGAGCGTGCACCGTCGTGCTTTTAGACTCTTCGGCGACAAATTGTTTTATCTGCTCTTCTGAGCTGCTTGAAGACGCTGTCGACTATTGCATTTTCGACTATCGCAAGTCGTCTGGTCTTGAAATTCCCAAATGAATTACTTGAACTGACGTCCTGTATACCGCGAAGAAGCCTGTTTATTGTACGTACTTGGTTCTGTGCTGGGAATTTTGTTCATCGATAACATTATCGAATCTACTCGTCCTGTTGCATCTTGGAGTCCATCCTAGATTTCACGCAGGCATAATGATCATTTCCAGTCTATTAATCGTCATCAGCCAGCCATACACGGCCTGGGCGACCTGAGGCTCTCGACCAACAGAGCTGGACCTAAAACTCGACGGTCCAGATTATGAAGAAACTAGGGTTATCTCAGAAGAAGAAGATGCGATCACTGGAAGAAGAAATTTTTCGGCCTGACGTTCCAGATTCTCACACGGACCCATCATCAGAGACAGCTGCAGATAAAGGTTGTCTGTCCGCAGGTGCTCAATGGCATACAATTCACGATGACAGTAGTCCTTATAAGTAACATGCACAATCCACAATTTTTATTTTTTACCTTCACAAAGCAGCCTCGAGGCATCGCACTCATCAATGGACACCCCGGAGCTCCCCATGCAGTTATAAGTTGCAGTACTCAGTCTCCTGGTGGACGCTTTTCCATTCAGACAGAAGCAGGGCATTACAAACTTCTGCAAAATAAATTCACGCTGTCTTTCAGCCATCAAAATTTGCAGTCAATATTTAATTTTTCATCGGAAATTTACCTCAACGCAGTCTCAACACTAATCTGCAAAAAGCATTTTCCTATTCGACGTAGTGGCTTTTGGGATGAGAAGTTTAATATATTTAAAAGAAGACGAAGGCACGATCACTGGGGCGGTAGATTTATTGGCCTTAACTTTCGAACTCGAACTGCAGTTCATGATCAGAGACTGCTAGAGTGCAGCAACGTGTGAACATTTATATCGTTGTTCCGTGCGGGGGAAAACTACGTCCGTGGCTAGGTCTGGTTTGTGACGCCAGGTCCCCAATGGTCCCCCGGCGTGGTGACGCCGTTTGTATTTCGCGGCGATGTGAGCAGCCCCACCTGCCTGCGTGGGCGGAGTGCGTGATAACACGCAGGCAAATCAATATGTCTCTTGATGGAGTTGGTGTCCGACAGCCACAGCTTCAACAGTTCTCGCCCCGTCTTGTTACTTTTTAATTAAAATAATGTGAACACTTTTTAAGGCAGTCTGGGGGCAAACGATAGGTCATGAAGCCGTCTGCTTTGAGATTACGCGGAACAACTAAAGGCCAGACTCAGATTTCTTTAAAGAAGATTGAAAATCGCCCTTAGACGAGCATACTAGCCCCTTTTAAGCCGCCAGCAAAAAATAACGTTAGTTGGGCATAGCGAAGGGCTCTTTGGAGGTGAAGTCATTGTTTCTGTGTAGCACGCCTGACAACATTTCCGCGGCGTGCGACTTCGAGCAACTGAGGAGGGGGCGAAGGGGGAGAAAAAAAGAAGAAGATGGTTATGAGGATGCGGATGAAGAAGAAGAAGAAGAAGAAGAAGAGGAAGGAGGAGGAGGAGGAGGAGGAGGAGGAGGAGGAGGAGCAGGAGCAGGAGGAGGAGGAGGAGGAGGAGGAGGAGGAGCAGGAGGAGGAGGAGGAGCAGGAGGAGGAGCAGGAGGAGCAGGAGGAGGAGGAGGAGGAGGGGGACAAAGGGAGGAATGTGACAGAACCCATTGAAGAGGGAGCAAATGGGGAGGATACTTGAATAGGGGTGAAAATTCGATTTGCAGGCGGCAGATCAGAGAAGGAAGGGGGATTCACCGGGAGGGGTTTCCCTGAGGTCTGACTTTCCGAGTAGGGATTTCGCCTGTCCATATTCAGAGACTGGAAATTAATGCACACAGCTCTTCTTATATGGCACCCTCCAATGCCGACTGTGGGACAGCATCGGACCCGAATTTCGATGTGACTGTTGTTGTCCATGCCCTCGCTGACCGGGAAAATAATTAGTGACTCCGATTATTTCCTTACGTGACTGTCTCCTGTCGGTAAAGCTGGATAGGCGCAGGTAATAATTACGGTAGGTAGGCTAACTCATAAAATGTCAACCGAAATTCCGAAATGCGTTTTCGTTTTGGAAAGATCAATTAGGTAGGGTTGTAAAAGCAATCATCGTGCAGCATAATTCTATAATAATTCAGTACCCCAGGATGCTGGCTTATGAACGAACATAGTTTCGGCTGCATGCAAAAATCATACTCTGCAAAAAAATGACATGCATAAAAATATTCATTCTTTTGCTCATTCGGTAGAAAATTACTTCTTCTAATTTTATACTCAACAGAAGGGTATAATTCGGTTTTAAAAAATGTCTCTAATTGTGGGACTTTTAAATACCGTGAAATGGCCGTTCATAAATCGTCATGTCTCTGCATTTACCAATATGGCTTGTAAAGTTCGCAATATGAATCAAACCCACTGCTTAATTTTATGAACCCTATATGGTCCAACTTTATTACCGTAGAGGAATGTGTGGTTTACCGTACGCGGAAAATATACGACTCGTAGTTCTGAAACCCTAAATTCATGTGTGACGGCAGGGCGGGTTCAAAATTATTCGGGAATTGGAAAGGCTTTTGAAAACCGAATTATGCCCTTCCTTCGAGTAAAAGATTAGAAGAAGACGTTATTTTCTACCGACTGCATAAGAGAATGTGTATTATTAATCATGTTTTCTATGAAATATAATTAGATATTTAGGGGCATCGAAAATCAATGAGAAAAATTAATGCCACTTAAGTAGCCATTTTTTGCAGAGTGTAGTTTTCGCACGCAGCCGGAAGGAAGTTCATTCGATAGCCGACGTCCTTAGGTAACTGAAATATTATGGAATTATGTTGCGGGCTGACTATGTTTACAACCCTAGTTAATTAATCTTTTCGAAACCAAAAGCCATTTCGGACTTTTGGCTGACATTTCATCAGTTAACCCACCTACTGTAGTTTGGCCAAATTCGGCTTGTTAGGTAGTTGCCGGTTCGTGACCCCTATCGTCCCTACGAAGCTTGTCTGCTTCGAGAAGCCAATGGCTAGGTACGCGTCCATTCCCGAGTAAATTCTGCACTCTTTGTGTCTCCACTACCCTTGTTTGCTACTGTCTCTGATGATAGGTCCGAGTGAGAATCCGAAACGTCAGGTCAATAAACTTCCTGGTGCGGTTATCCTTACAGAAACTGCTGAAACGTTTAAATGCAAACTAGATACTCATTTGCTGAAAAACACGATTGCTGCGCATCTAATTAAGATTGTGTCAGTGGTGGCGGTTCGCGCCTGGCTTGCACAATTCCACGAATTACTGCGTCAAAAATTAGTTCTATTCCAGTATTCTGATAAGAAAAGGAAGCCCAAGGACGAGAACTTTATTTTCTTAATAAAGTGATTTAAAAGGACCCAAACTCCTAAGCATGAAGTAATCTTGTATTGGTACCCATATAAACATTGGAGAAGTCACATTCGGCGAACGCGCCTTTTCGATAAGTCACCCTCAGGCCCGTACAATAAATCAGTTAGGATAAAGCAGTAAAAGGATAGGACAGCTGGTTAACAGTTGTTATGTGGGAGAGTGGTTGGGGCGTTCAGAAATGTTGGTCCTGTCAAGGGCTTGGGTGGGGAGGGAAGGGAGGGCGGATTGGCGATCGAACGTTGCTTTCGATATCTTCTCTTTAGGCTAGTACAGTCATATGGGACGGGGTACAATGAGTGAACAAATCGATAACAGTTAGTTTTTAAAATGCAGGTAAGGCAAGAGCGGAAGGGCGCAGAAAGTGGTAATTGGTTAGTCAACCCTTGACCACGGTAAGCGCGGAGCATGAACGAGGTTCTTCTAGGCGCATAGAGTCGCTTTTCGTAACCTGATGGCGTCCGCTTCTGCTGTTGCTAACAGGCGCTGGTCCAGTAGCTTAGGGTAGCTCGAGGGGACCTTATAAATCACACGAGATGCTTCAGCAGGGTCCACACGATGGCCTGAATCCACTGCATGCGAGAGGATAGCGCTGTATATTCTACTAGTTTCACCTTTTGCCAGCCATGCGGGGAGGTGTTCTCGTGTTCTTATGGAAAGGCGCCGACGCGTACGGCCAATATAATCTGCTCCACAGGAGCAAGTGAATGAGTAGGTGCACATTGAGGTGGTCTGAGGTGGCAACCTATCCCTACCTTCTCAGCGTAGAATAGGGTTAGTAGAGAATGATATGCGAACCCTTGCTGCAGGAAGGGTTCCCGAGACAGCTTGTTCAAGGCGTCTTATTAGGAGTTCACTTGCAGCATCTCCTTGGAAAGGGACTCTGAGGAACAAAGTTTTCTTTTCGGCGGTCACTGTGGTGGGTTTTGCGTGTCGTTCGGCAATGTTCTTTGCAATGAACCTGTTAAGATACCCGTTTTCGGAAAGCAAGTCCTGGCTATTTTTAAGTTCCTCCTCGAAACTATCTGTTGTACAAGTTTTTCTAGCACTCTGTGTCAAACACCCGACTGGATATCGGTTTTGTTTCAGAGGTACAAACCAGCGATGTTCGTGTATTGTCTAGACCAGGTTTTCTTCCAATAGATCCTCATTCGCATGCTACCGTCAGATCTCCTGTTTAAAAGGACATCTAAGAAAGGAAGCTAAGCGACCGATTCCATCTCCAGCGTGAATTTGATCGACGGTTGTGTTCGGTTTACAGCATTTAGGAGTGCAGAAACGTCGGTTTATGTGGTTGCAATCGCACAGATATCATCAACGTAGCGACCGTAATGCCTATGTTTCGCCGCGACGTGGCCGAGTGCGGAAATGAACATGCTTGGTTCATCATAGTCCGGGATAGCTTGAGGGGTTTTTTGAATACCTTCTGCGGGCACAAGGCTGGCTGTAGCTACCGCCTTTTGCCGTCGCAAGTAACCGCCGACGCGGGGACTTATACTGCCTCGCTGGCACTTCATGGTGACGCAGGATGCCTGGCGGCTCCAAGTCAGCTACTGTTCATCGGTTGTTTTAACCTTCGATGTTTCACCCAACTTAAATTACTATACAGGCCCGAACATGGAATAATTATTGTGAAAAAGAAAAAGACAATCAGCATACCGTTTACTTCGACACTTCGGGAGGTCGTACGAAGAATCAAAGACACATCAGCAATCAAGGTGCGCAAGATCCCCCTACTTTGTGTGTTTTGGAGGCAGTTCCGAAGAGGCCGATCCTGCCTATCCCGTAAAGTATGCATATAACGGTTCACCGGAATGGCATTGTGGACCTCTTCAGCGCAATTTACCGACAGATGTTTTTGTAAACTTCTGACGATTGTCCCAGTCTGTTTTGTTGAAAGAAGAGATTATTGGGAGGTATATTTTAGAGGGTGAGTGACCGCGTAGTCAAAGTACTGACCTCTTTTGGCGAAGCATGCAGTTACGCATGAGTATGTCTCACCTAACAGGTGCTGTTCATAAAATGAATGGCTAGTTTTTCCGACAGATAGGCGATTTGGTTGTTTTGCTTTCTCAGCCATGCGATCGAGTAGGTTTGATTGGTTTGAAGGCTTCTACCTAATGCAAAGCCGTGTTTTCAATGTAAGCGACACTAACCTTTCCGGTGTTTTTTTCGGATTAAAACAAGATTCCTTCACTTCCATTTTGTGTCTCCTAACCTGGCATTAACGAAGCGCCTAGGAGAAACGGTTTCTAAACAATCCTAAAAAGGTGATTTTGCACGTTTCCTGACTCGGTCAGGTAGTATGGTGTGTGCAACGGGTATACGGCTCTAAATTTGGCGGAAAAAACCATGCCTACAGTTACGAATCATTCGGTCTGCGCAAAGCTGAAAGGTGGAGTGTGCATCACTATGAAATGCGTGATGGAGCGACGTTTTTTTAGTGATGACATACATAATTTTTAACGTCACTCTTGTACTTTTCTCGCCTCACTTTTGTCTTATGTGTGAAGCCTTTAGAATATGCCTTCCTCATCAAACCATTGGCCTTCACATTTCCTCTTTTTCAAGAGAAAGGGGCAACTTTTGAGCCAATCAGCAGTTTCAAAATCCACCATATGCGTTTCTGTGGCCAGAGTTATTACACCAAAAGTCAGCGTGCGTTTATCGAAAAGTCCAGACGGTGGAATACTATGAATGTCCTTTGCCTCGGAAGAAAGCTGAGTACCTTCTCTAGGATCCAAACATGAAGGCCGTTTGAATGCTGAGTTTAATGAAAATGCGCTATTAGCGTGGATGACATACCAACAACCTTTTGGATAAATACGTGAGCCCCCTCGAGAATAAACCTCTAATTAATCGTCTATGAGGTGCAATAGAAACCTTTTGACAATTTCGCCAATGTAAGACTCAGGTCTATTTAACCAAGACTCTTAGACAACGATGGACTCTTCAGAGCATTTTAGCAAGCAGTTCAAGAGGTTCTTGGGGAACCAGCTGACAGTTTTCGAAAGACCCCTGTGACTAGCTTGGATGACTCAGAGTGCGTGCTTGCAATCTTCCCAAAGCTAAAATTATTGATGAGTGTATACGTACGATGTTATAAAAAGGATTTTGCGATAAAATTAATAACAGTGATGTAACACGTGCGCATCTTTTGGGAGTCCCTCCCTGAACCACGGCCATTTTGCAAACAAGCCCGTATTATCTGTTACAAGACCGTGTCGCCTTTAACGATTGGTAGTTGAGCATGTGTGCTTGTATGCCAGGCCATCGTTGTTCAGGATATATAACTAAATACACAGC